AAACACTAAAGAGGTAAGACGTGTGCATTGACAAAAAAAATTTTTTTTTTTCTGCATATGGAACAAATCCCTAGCGGCTCAGGGTTTGGCCCACTTGATTCTATCCTGGATAATGGTCCAGCTGAACAGAAGCCCAGAACCTCTTGATTGTTCTAGGTTTGGGCCAAAATTTTCAGATGGGACTTGTAGAACAATAGTTTCAGTGCTTTTCTTCCCGTCCCCGCTGAACACCCAGTCAGGCCATACACCTCCTCTTGTCCTAGCATTTCCTTCCACTGCTGTGCCTGTATTTTAGCACAGCATAACCCAACTAGCTTGTACCACCCACTCTTTCCCCCAGTCATCCCAGTTCCTTCTTTCCCCCTTACCTTCTCTTCACTGCTGCTCACTTCACTTTTTCTCCACTTTTTTCCAACCTGGAATGCCTGTATCTGGGACATGCATGTTTGGATCCAGCCACAAACCACCTGAATCTGCTCTTCCATGCATGTTGTGATCTATACATAGAACATTTTGCACATCTCTATCAACTGGACAGTTCTTTTGTGACACTTTGCAGACCAATATAAACATCTGGGCTATCCTTCGGAAACTTAAACAGAGGACACCTAAATCAACCTTTGACATTTTAAAGTAGGCCTGGGAAAGACCCATTTGAAACCCTAATGACCAACTGATAAGGCATTCAGTTCAGAGCCATAGTATTGAACTGGCTGTAGTGTACAACATCCAGGACCTACATCTTCAGAGATAATGCTTGTTTTTATACGTACAACTTTTGAATAGCTGAGGCTTTTTGTTTTTGAAACAGGGTCTGGCAGAGCTGTATGAATATAAAAAAAAATATTCTGATGCAGACATTGAGCCGTTCTTAAAAAACTCCTCACAGTTCTTCCAGAGCTATGTAGAACGAGGTCTCCGGCTGATTGAAATGGAAAGGGAAGGCAAAGGGCGCATTTCTTCTACAGGTAATTTGATATCATTGACTTAGTTCCATCAAAACAAGAGCTATTGGCTA